CTAAATTATTGGTCAGAAATATTTAATTTCCTGATATCCTTAGTTTACGAGAGTAAAATTATAAACGAAAAGAATCGATCCAGAAATATTGCATTTCCATATCGAATAATTTCGCAACGTCACTATTTAGTACTTGTCATAACGATTCCAGATAATTCGATTCCAGATTTGATAATTTCAGTGTTGCAAACACTGAAATTATCAAATCTGGAATCGAATTAAAATTCCGAGTATAGTTCCAAATCTTATTGCTGACAGCAAACTTTAGACAAACAAAAATTGAACTACTATAAAAATCGTACCACTATCGCACTTCCACGTATGTGTGATAGTATTACATAATATGAGAGTTTAGATACTAATCTATTACAAATGTGTTGTAAAACATTTTCCTTATAATTCTTAACATGATAAGACTTGGTGTTAAATATACTACTATAAAAACGAAGCACAGCTTATATCCATAAAAATGTGTTATAATCAGATCAAATTATGAAAGACATAAATAAGCAAACATCATTATAAAGACTTACTTTTCCTGCAATTGCTGAAAATGCATACGAAATTAATTTTTTTAGTAGCAAATTAATCCTAGTCCCGATCGGTGTCCTAGAAGAACAACCAGTCTTCGTAGGATAGGCATAATCATTGTTTAAACTCTCGGTGACATAACTGCGACAACCAATCAGTTGCTAGTAAATCAAGACCCAATCCATACGAAAGATAAACGAGATAAACATATCAAGAAAATGTACTTACTGGAAGTATTTTAGCATGGGTATATTTAAGATTGAATTGGCTGTCGTCAATTTCAGTAGACCTGAAAAAGAAACGGGTTTAAATTCATTAACCCTTGGTATGCCGGGAGCGTAGATATACGTGAGACACAATGTGTTATCTATTGTGTCTCATATGCCAGTAGACAAGAGGTTAAGGGCCGATTTCTTCAATGCTAGATTAATTTTAACTGACAATTATTCTTCCAAAACTGTCAAATGTCAATTGTCAATACAGTAAAAAACTGTCAAATGTTAATTTTATTCTGAAGTTAAGAATTGATTGTGTCCAGTCTGCCAGCTACTAACATTGCAGACACACCTCGAAGTGAATAAAGTTCGACGGCACTGTATCTAAAAAAAAAACAAAAAAAAAACTGCCGTAACACATGACGCTGGCAGAATAGTCAACTAATAAATAGTGGAGAAACAATTGCATTAAAAAAAACTTATAATTAAAAATATCAGTTATATTCTAACTTATTTTTTAATCACTATTAAATTCTCTATACATTTAATAGTTTAGGCAATGGATATGATGATACGATTTCAACTTATTACTCATCTACTACTTGAAAATATGGTTCAAAATGCAGAAGAAAGTAACAAATTCTTACCCGAGTTTTAGAACATTAAGATTATCATAACTACCGCCGCCTTGTCTCCTAAATGTTTCTTCAGGTGCATTAGGTATATGTGGCCAATTACTACGTCTTGTATTTGATCCAGGATGGTAATTGTAATATCTTTGCTGAAAAATGAATAGTTTTTATAAGTTTATAAAATGTACTATAGGAAACTAAATATCTCCTAAAGGAGACACACAAGTTTTTATTAGCTTCTATATCCATAGATATTCAATGCATGTGTTGGCAATTTACCTAATCTATACTAATATTATAAAGAGGAAAGATTTGTACCTATTTTTGTATGTTTGTATGTTTGTAATAAATAGGCTCAAAAAGTACTGGGCCGATTTAAAAAATTCTTTCACCAATAGAATGCTACATTCTTCCAATTACACATAGGCTATATTTCATTTTGGAAAAAAATAGGGATCCTTGGTAAAATTTTAACAATGTAACCGAAGGTGTAGAAAAATGATCTTAAAATGTCTTTCGTCGAATGCGTTGCCGAAACAATTAGCGATAGAACAAAATAATGTACAACAATATTGAAGAACATCATAATGTCTACAAAAAACTCCGCAATAGCATATGTCCAACTACTGTAGTTGTGTCACTACAACAATCCAAATTTCCAAAAAAAAATAAAGTAATTGTCTACCCCTTGCTAAGCCGGGACGGGCTGCTAGTTAAATAATATTTGTATAATACCATTTTGTATAGAAGAGTATCATGCGTGTGTTGCCAGTCTTTAAGGGATTGGGGAAAGGTCACACAACGGCGAAACACAACGCAATCGTTGCTTCACGTCGATTTTCTGTTAGGCCGTTGGTATCACTTCTGTCGAGCCGGCTCATTCGACCCCAAGTAGCTTTCTGTCACTATATGATTTATTTTTAAAAACTTACATTAATTATCTCTGAATCGTCTGAATCCTCTTCTTGTCTATAATTTCTCCTTTGTGCCTGTAATTTAGTGGACCTAGTATTATTATATCGTATAACATCACATGTTTTAATCTCTGACGGTGGCAGTGTACTTTTTTGTAATAACTGTATTTGGAAAACTGTATCAAACTAATTACCTGATGTAGTCTATAGTTGTTTCTGAATTTTCTTCCATTGCATTCGTATATATTCTGAAACTAAATCATTTTAATTAGGTAGGCGTCCAAAGATAGCATACAGATATATGAATAAATATCACAACAAACGACGACTGTTAATTCATTTGCTCCGTTATTCCAGGGCCTTTAGCCAAACGCCAAACGCGCTTGTTTAAAGAGGGAGTAGAAATCAAAATGTATGGGGATGACACTGAAAACCAAAAATTTTACGTCAATTCCGTATAATTAGGTTTTCTATTCTACATGTAGACAAGCGCTAAATGGCATTTGGCTACAGCTGCTGATTACTTCATCAATATGTGGAACACAGTTGACTATTTTTTATGTATCATAATACTGATACACGATCTAAATGATTCAATAGTCATCATAGTACAATTGTCGATGACCAGCGCTAAATATGGGTCTCTCAGATGATATTCAGATCGGCTAGGCCAATTGTAAACTAGTTGCATCCATTTCAACAAATTTTAGTCACATCACAATAAGTTCGTATCACAAGTAATATCTAAACAAATATTATAAAGAAAATTAGTATCGAAATTACTACAATTATAACAAAAACTAGGTAAAACTCCAGTAAAATACTCAGACAAAGTGAAAAAATAGCTTACAATTATTGTTATAACGAAAAATGTTACAGTGAAGTCCATTTCATTTTTCAGTTGATACTGGCCTTCGTATAACTATTTAAAAACGTATCGATGTAATAACTTTAATAGTGTTCGAATAATTAATTACCATGAAATGAACTGCGTCATAAAACATGTTCAAAATAAAAATATTAATTCAGAATTTATATTGAAAACACAGTTGACATGGATATTATTGATAAACGAACGATTGGTTCCATTTTAAAAAAAATGATATAATTATAATAATTATTGTCTTAATTATTATATTATGTTTTGTATATTAGTATGTTAATGAAGTTAACGGTGTAACTGATTTCATAACATATAGTTTAACTTCTAACTATAGGGTGTTTTGTTCAGTTTTTTCTGTTTTTTGTTATTATATTTTCAGTATTCTTTTCTATATTTTTTTCCACTAAATTCAACACTATAAAATAACGAAAGCAATAAAATAATTTATGAATGATAATTTATAGATGATCTGTGTATTGATAGACATTTTGTGAAAATTATTTTCTTATAATTAAAATTTTATTGTGACGCTATTACAGAGTAATTCAAGAACATATAGGTGACTGAGACTACTAAATGAAACGACACAGTGTCCGTAATGTTATATTTTATAATTTAAATAAACAGTTTTATCTTCATCTATCATAGAATTGAATTCCACCTGCGATTAATTTTCTGAAATGAAATAAGTCAATTATTTTAAGGCGTGTGGTACTAACCGCTAACCAATTTCAGTAACAGGTACAAAAACAGAGGCTGTTAATTATAAAAAAATACACAATTTATTTATTATTAGCTTCTACCCGCGACTTCGTACGCGCAATCCCGATTTCTCCCGTTCCCATAAGATTTTCAGGTTTTTTTCTATTACAAGAACCTCTTCCTGACGATAATAACAAACACAACAAAAAAAAAATCAACCAAATCGGTCTAGCCGTTCTGAAGTTACGGCGTGACAACGGGATAGGTAAGGGTTTCATTTTTATATATATAGATTTAACTCGTCGAGTACCGTCATTATAGACACAATTATAAAACAATAGGTTGCGGTCACCGGTGACCGCTTGATGTTTGACAGTTTAATTCAAAGATAAAAATTTACATACTTGGCCCTTTTTTGAGTAAACGCATTCTGGAATAATCAATATTACAATGTTAATTATTATAATTGGCTTACTCATATAACTGTTTGACGAAGAACTCGACTAGCTTCAAGCCATGCTAGAGGCTCATACATATTTAGTAGTAGCGCGACAGTCGCCGCGTCGCGTATCACAGAATGCTACTCATGAATTTAAGTCTCTAGCATGGCTTGAGACTAGTCGAGTCCCTCGTCAAATAATTACGTAAGCCGAAAATACAATAAACAATTAATTTAGTGTGCCTCACGAAAGTTTTAATATTATATGCATTATAAAGCGTATAATTATAACAAAAATAAATTTAATCTATCGGTGTTTTAAATATGTACTGAACAATGAATGATAATATTTCTGATTGTGCCTGACATACTGATCAGTTATTTCTTATCAAAAGGCTAGGTACTACTTACTACTAAAAATCCTGAGCGAACATATTTTGATAAAATGCTTATGTTTTTATAATAACTATCGTGAGACATACTAAATTAACTAAAAATCGCGGATGTCGCCCAGCCTACTCTAGTAGGAGTAGGCTGCGCGCCGCGACCGCGCACGCTGCTCATGAGGAAGAACCCCTCTGTGGTTCGAAATTAGTAGAGCTTTTCTCAGTATATTCACGTGAGTAACCCGCGATTTTTAGTTAAAATGCTTACGTCTTTTGGATATTCTTCTGCTATGGTCGGAAAACGCATTTCAACCTAAAATACATGAAGTTATTAAATATTTATTCATTATTCACATACACATGCATAATTTTACAGCGCAAGCCAAAATATTATACAGATTAAATAAATAAAAAAGACTTATTTTACTACTTTACACTTTACTTTATTATAGGTATTGAATAAAAAATCATTGAATGTTATTACTTATATAAGGTTTTAAGTGTGAGAGAGCCATGCTTCGGCTCGAATGGGCCGGTTCGACCGGAGTGGTACCACGGCCGAGCAGAAACCGCAAAGAAACAACGCTTGCGTTATGTTTCGTCGTGTTAGTGAGATTATCGGAGGCCCAGTTACCCCTCTCCCCGTCTTCAATCTCTCCAATCTTTGAATCCAATCAACATTCCTCAAATTCCTCATCTCCAAAATACCGATAAGACACTTGTAACGCCTCTGGTGTTCCAGGTGTCTATGGGCGACGCTGAGCTTACCATCAGGTAAACTGTATGGTCGTTTACCGGTTTATCCCATAAAAAAATCAAATTAAAAAAGTGAAAATATAAACATACCGAATCAAAGTTCTTTGCCCTTGTGGCTTCTAAAAACTGTTGGTGAAATAGAGATTACAATACAGTTTTAAAGGAAAAAGGTAATAAATAAAACAAAAACATTGTCCGTTATGCTATTTTCTTGACACTAGTATACAATTCTGTCAATTAACTTAGTAGCTTTAGGGCCTGTTTCACAATATCTAGAGAGAATAGAAAACTACATTTATGGGGATGACACTGACAAGTGTCAAAATTTACGTCAATTCCATATAATTTGGTTTTCTATTCTACATGTAGACAAGCGCTAAATGGCATTGGGCTAAATCTGCTGGTGTGCCGTTATCTACCAGATAAATTTGAATTAAGAACTTTGTATGAACTATTTGTCACATAAGTTTATCTTGTATGGAGGTAGTGAAACTTAATGTTTTTGTTCGATTCAAAAACACGAAAAACAATGGGTTTCTATTGTATCTTTGTTTCTACTTTTTATTGAATAATTTTCCAAAAAAGTTTATATACTGTTTACGATTAAAAAATATATTTAAAAAAAGAAATGATAGTTACCGCTGTGTAAGGTTTTACAGATTCATGGTAATGCTCCTTCTGTTAAGATAATGTAAAGATTGCTTTCATAATTATTGTATGAATAAAAATACAATTCAATTGAAGTAAACTACACAGCATCGCTTACCAACATGGCTTCTTCGGCTTCTTCTTTAATTTTAGGTATTTCAAAAAACTGCAGAATATTTACAAAAGTTATTATTAAGTACTTAATAGCATTAGTTTTAGTAAATAGGCAATCAAATGGGATGTTTACAAGTCTGTTTAAGAAAACTACTTTTGTATTAAGGTAGTAAATATATTCAGGTAATGAACAGTCGAACAAAATTCAGAGGATAAAGAAATTTCACACTGTTACTACAGTATAAAAACATATTTTAAACACTGTGTTCTAAGAACAATTAATAATATAAAATAAAAAATATATAACACACCATAATTCTACATTATTTACTTGAAATTATTAGTTATTACTCATTTACCTCTAACGTGATTCCGTTTGTTTTATAAGTCTAAAAGTAAATTGAAAATATAAAATAAGTAAATTATAAAATATCTATGTGAAAATGAATTAAATGTGGGAGACCGTAGGATACCACACCCTCTTAGAAAACCGTCGTAAAACAACCCTGATTCCTCAATTCCCAATAATCCTCAAATTCCTAATCCCTAAAAGGCCGGTAACGCACTTGTAACAATTTCTGGTGTTTCTAGTGTCCATGGGCGACGCCGATTGCTTACCATTGGGTGATCTACCATCGTCTGCTCGTTTACCGGCTTACATAAAAATAAAAAAAAAATAAAAACATTATAACTTATCTATTAGTTAAAGAAAAAAAGGTTAAAGAGAAAGAGGTATATCTACCTTGGTGAGTTTTTTTGAGTTCCTCTGTTTTAGATGCGAAAAGAATAATTTAATGGATTATTATAATAAGTAAATGCTATGAAAATATTCTTCTTTTTACTAAAAAAGAAAATCTTACCAGTCTTTCTGTCTCATTCCTGCTCAGTTCAAATGAAATAAAACATTATGAAGTTTAATTCAATCTTCGTAATTAAAAGTAATTTAATTAGATTAGAATTTTAATGAAATAAATATACCTATACAACTTAAAATATAAATAATTTACACCATAAAAATGTAGATCATAAGGCATCAAAGAAAAAATTTTCCTCATTGCTATCGTGAGTAAAATAAATTTTCGTAATTGAATTAATGAAAAACATTAATATGTAGGTAAAGCTGAAGAGATTGATGGTTTGTTTCGACGCGGTTATCTTCAAAACTATTGTTCCAAATGAAAAAAAAAAACATTTGTATTGGATAGTTTATTATCACGGGTTAAACCTTACCTAGAATTAAATATTATCATGTTCCTTTAAATATATGAAGGAAATAAATTATCACATATACTCACATCGTTTTTGGACTGAAACTATTTAGAAGTAGTTGCTTTTTTTCTCTTTCTAGCTTGCCATAATCTCGGAATCGTGCTACTGGTTTATCCTTGTTAAAATACATTATCATCAAATAATCATTATATTGAAAAATAACATTTGATGACCTTCGGAACTTTCAAATAATGGCTCATAAATCCCACTATTGGTAAATCGTTTATTATGAGAGGATTGTTATTATTATTTTAAAATTAAATTGTTAAAATACAATAATTATAATAAAAATATAACAAATATTATTGATGTGCCTTCGGAACTTCATCAGTATCAATTTACCCAAATAGTGGGTTTCAAATCCCACTATTGGAAAATCGCTTATAATAAATAGGATTGTTATTATTATTTTGAAATTAAAAACATAAGAGTCAAAAGCAAAGCATTTATTTTCAGTTGTTGTCGTAATTATTGTATTTGTTTATTACCTTATTTCGTGGTTTCTTGCGTACTAGTGCTATTATGTATCTTTAGGAGAAACAAAACGTAAGTATGAGAAATATTCATAAACTTAATTAAAAAACACAAATTAAATATGTTTTTATCGTGAGACATACTAAATTAACAAAAATCACGGGTTATTCACGTGAATATACTGAGAAAAGCTCTACTAATTTCGAACCAGAGAGGGGTTCTTCCTCATGAACAGCGTGCGCGGTCGCGGTGACGTCGCGCAGCTCACTCTGGGCCAGTGAGCTTCTCAGTATATTCACGTGAGTAACCCGTGATTTTAGTTAATAAAGTAAATATGGTTGACAACAGCTAAACAATGATTAGTATATTTTATTTGAAAACTGAGATATCTTTTGTATGAAGGCAGGCAAAAGACCAAACAGACATATAAACTAAATTTGATGAATAAGTAAGTTATAGTTATAATAAATAAACAGAGGTTTCTTTTAGATAAATATTTTTTACTCACCTTGGCTTAAAGTTCGAGGCTTCACTTGATACCTGCGCAGTGAGAATAATATCAAAGAAAATATTTTTTTAATGTTTATAAATATCCTCCTGATTTTCTACTGCGTCGTGGGTGCGTTACAAACATACAAGTTCACATACACTTATTAAGTGTGAGAGAGCCATGCTTTGGCACAAATGGGCCAGCGTGATACCACGGCCTTACAGAAAACCGACGTGAAGCAACGCTTGCGTTGTGTTTCGTCAAGTGAATGAGGTTACCGGAGGCTTAATTACCCTCCCCTTCCCCAATCTCCCCAATTCCTGAACAAAAAAAGTATAAAAACTTACAGATGGTAAGAAGCCATTATTATTTCTTCTAAATCCAGTGTACAATACTCGTTCGCCTGTACCGCCGTATCTGAAAACATAAACGTACGTAAAACATGCAGAAATAAACATTTGCTACAAAACTACATTTCTAAAAATTACTGATATATCCTTAATAATTCGAACAGAAGCGGTCGCCTTCAAACGTAATCTTTGTTTATTTCAAATTAGTTTCTTTTCTTTAATTCTTTGGAGACACTTATATTTTTTAAATTTGTGTTTTCGCCGTTGGATTAGAGAGTTTAATAACAAAGAAATGTCACTCGGTATTTGATAGAAAAGTTATTGTGTTTACATTTGATCAACGACCATTCAATCTATTTTCGAAAATGCCATACGAAATAGTTTTAGTTAAATCCTATCCTCGAAGATTGTCGCGGAGAACCTAACGGATAACCGGGGCTCCGACTCGAAGTGCAGGAGTAGGAACGGGGTGGTTTTTAGTCAGTAAGAGTCTGACACTCCCTCCCGCCTCACCCAGGCGGGAGCAGTCATTCGATGATTTTCCCCCCTTAAAAAAAATCCTCGAAGATTATGCAGTGTGATGTTATGAATTTACCTAAATATGATAATTCTATAGCATAGTTCTTGGAGTTCTTATACTTACGTGATACCCAAATTATCCAAATTTCCATAAACTCCAGCACCATTGTCCAGGTCTTTATGTGGAAACTTCACAGCAGATTTGAGCATTCCCAGAGCTGGTCTGATCAGCGTATGCCCTGGGAGAATGGCTTCTGCTTCGGGCAGCTGACTGGGTACCGTTGGAGATCCAAGGATTGGTGACCTCATCCCAGCATGGAAGTCATATAATCGACGCTAAAAATATGTATTAAATTATTAATAAAGTCATCAGATACAGGTAGGTCCAAGGCTTATGCCTATAGGCGTAAAACTATGACTATAGTTTACATTTAACTAACAAATTTAACACATTCACTTTTATAAAAAAAAAAAAATATGCCTCTTTGCAAATCTACGAAAGTAACTTTGGATTATTTATTAGACACTGACTTACACTTGGTGTGTATAGGTCGTTGGTACCATATCCATACTTCGTGCTTTTTCTCTGTGAAAAAAATAAAATGAAATATTGTTATTGAAATGTTGTAATTACAAAAAAAAAATGTAGGCGTAGGCATGGTTGCAATTAGAAATTATAATGTAGGAATGTTTTACAGAATTTCTGTATAACTAAATCTGTATGCATTTGCAAACTAAACACAGATTTAATTCACAACTGCACTTTATCTTTATTCACTTTACAATTTTTGACAATAAAAACCAATAAACATATTCTTTCGACGCTTAAATGCTTTCATCAATTCGCGGCCTTTTTTCAGTGTTGCTACGCACAATCATAAAGAAAACAAAAACTATAGACAATTTTTAATAGATAACAATTTTAATCTTATTTAAAAAAAATATATAACTTAATTTATAAGAAATTAGAATTGATGATAACTATAATTATGTAGACATTTTATGATTGTGTTTAAATAAATATGATTAGCTTACACATTTGATAATTTAAAAATACGGTAAGTAATTAATTAAAAATACTTACAAAATCTCCAAGTTCTTCGGCACTTACAAAAGCTCTTCTCTAAAATAAAATTATAAACACATAATCTAAAATCTATTAATGCATGTTCGTATTGATTCCAATATTTAAAAAAAATGCTATGTAACATGGAATATAGGTTAACACACCTATAAAAAGTATTGTAAAATAATAAAAAAAAATATTTTTTATTAATACCAATTGTTTGTGGCCAGTGTCAAATTTCTTTTAGAAGACATTTTTTTTTAAATACTTATAGTTTTATTGTTTTTAGTATTTAGTTGTAATCATTACTTATCTGTGGTTTAAAAAATACGATGTGTTTAATACCGCGTGAAAAATATGCATTTTTTTTGGTATGTTGGAGTTTGGCATAGACTACTAGACTTATGGGACTATTAGGTATGCGTACTTACGTAACTTATTTCATCTTCATCTTCATTGTCCCCGTAAAAACTACTTCTCTGTAAATAAGTAGATATGTTATAGAAAATATGCGAAATGTAATTATTACGGAATAGGTATGATACTATCATTGGATAATTCCGCGTTTTTGGCAGATGTATCTAATTTTAATTTTCGCATAAGAATCCGAGTTCCAGTTACTACGAGTTCATTTTGACTCATTTTAATAGATATGTAGATATGAGCTTCAAATTCATTGAATTAATAGAGGTATTAAGTTTTAACCTTTCCTTGTAAAACTGAATCTATTGCAGATACGCGGCCTGTACGTATGGTAGATTAGCGGATTTGCACTATCCCCTACGATATGGTATTGTGATGTTTGGTAGGATTTAGAATGAGTGAATAAAAATATAGGTACAATACAACCTCTTTTTTAATTATCGGTTAAGAGTATGGTCTTACTTATATTATAGCATTTGAAACTTACATATTTTTTCGTTTTTAGGTTTATGTTCATTAACTGTGAAAGAAAGTAGATTTAAAAAATTACAAAATAGGTTTTAATACATTTTTGAATTCAGCACATAATTTGGTCTCTAACGTTATGTTATGAATAAAGTATACATATATTATCCATGTAAGATATTATACTTTCTATGCTAACGGCTCTAGTTTCGATTTTTTTATTAGACATAGAACACTCCAAAAAGAATGATTTATTTTAGTGCAGCCGTTAAGAGTATTGTGCATTCTTATACATATACATTGGGGTGCGGTGCCAGAAGACCTCCCCGTGGTGCACCCTGGGTGCGGGCGACAGTCTCCCTAGCGGGGGTGATAGGGTTGGAGTGACTGTCGCCCGCAGCAGACTTCTGGACTGGGCGGGCGAACCCGATAGGGTTCTGGAGGCGGCGGGCTGTGTGCTCATGGCCCG